CCAACTAGAGATCCCTTCATTGTTTTATTTTCTATTCTCTCTTTCTGTATTTTCCCCATTTCGCAGCGCTGCAAACTGATATATGTTAGCAGTCTGGTGATACTCTCGAATCTGGCGCTGTGCCTGTGCTTCATGTACTCCATGTGGAAGTGGCTGATACTGAGCGGCTTGTCGCAGGGCCTCTATCTGCTGCCCATCTTTTTCTTGGGCCCGGTGGTGCAGCTGCTGCTCTTGTTTCGCTTTACAGCGCATATGCTGGTGAGTTCAGACGCAGAATCCGTTTTTGTTATGAAACTGTATGAAATGCAAATACCCTTGGACCGGCAGCTCAACCTTTGGATTGTCGTGTGAAGCATGAAATTGACTGCAGCCCAAAGCCAACGAAGACGCTGTCCATTAGAAGTCAAGCTATGGAGAAGAGCATGATATGGGCTGGCTGGTGTTGGGCGTAAATGCAAGGCAAAAGTTTCGCATCAAATCAAAGCAATAAACGAACAAAACTGAGTAACTTCAGGCACTTGCATAAACCAAATACACTTTCACTCAACAACAACAACAATAACAAGTACTACTACAACAATAGTAACAACAACAACAGTAGCATGCACGTCGAGAGCTGCCAAACTGCAGGCATTTATGACACTCCCCAGCTGGGCTTGAGGGATGGCGGATGGATGGGGGCGGGCGATGGGCGTAGCATCGTGTGGCAGGCAAATCGCATAACGAAATTGTTGCTGAAAAGTTGAACAAATATTGAGGTCAGCAAAATTTTGTGCAGCGAGCCCTGCAGGCGGCAAGCACTCTTTGTGCTGTTGCTCTGTGTGTAAACTGTTTTGTAGCCTTTGGCACAAACTTTTGACACGCTCGGGCTACACACACTCGCACACACACACACTCAACTCCATACAGGCACAAACATTCAATGAAAATCGTCATCAGTCGCCCAGTCGACAGTTCTTCAGTTTTTCAGTTTGTCAATAAAAACATAAAAAAAAATCGAAAGGAAACAAAATAAGTTTCCTGCCCGGGCCAGCCTGCCTGGTCGCCAGTTATTGTCCCGAGTCGAAGCACTTTCAGTTTGGTCCGATTATGGCGCATTGCAGGCGTGTTCACTTTAGCCCTTACCCTGCCCTGCCCTGCCCTGTCCCGCCCACTTTCGATGCTCATTGAGAAGTTGACGCAAATGCCTTTCGATTTTTCGTTCTGCTTCATTCGTGGACACAACTTGGCTTTTCGCATTGCATAATTGATTGTCTCTCTCAATGTGTGCATGTTACTTTACATAAGTGTGTCTGTGTGTGTGTGTATGTGTGTGTATGTGTGTGTCTTGCCCCAATTTATGCACATATTCAATATGCACTCAGTTTAGACCGCAGTGTGATTTCACTTTGCGTGAAGCATTGAATTTGTGTTGAGGCATTTTACGTAAAATTTCACTTTTATTGAACTTTTGGCAGCCAAAGGCTCAACTATTCAACAATCCAAAATGTGCCTAAGCAGTAAAATGATAAT